TACTCTCATTATCCTTCTTAATCATTTATAAAAATATCAAAAATCTCACGCAAAGAGTTTCTTTATTATAAAAATACCACGAGATTTCAAGCTCTCGCTCTTCAAAGCTAGCGATGTTTTTGTATTAAAGAAACTTTATTGAAATAAAAATTACAAGCCTCCAGGGAAAATATAATTTTTAAAATCTCTCAAGTTTTCTGGCAAGAAAGCCCTTCTACGGGAGAAAATATTTTACATCATTAATACGCCAATAAAATAAGATTTAAAATTAAATAAAGTTATTTGTTTTTTTACATTTGTTTCAAAGCATAATCAACGCAGGCTTCTGTTGCGCGTGCTTCACTTGGGGGTTATGGGGTGGGTTCAGGGAATATAATGTTATAAATTTCCGGAATATCTATTCTTCTGTTACTTGCCCGAAAGCTTGAGATATTTTTACATAAAAATGAAATAATCTTTTCCCTGAAGGCTTAATGTTTTTATTTTAATATTGATTCAAGGGATAATTTTATAGAATAATAAAGAAACATTGCGTGAGGTTTTTTGATATTTTATAAAACTAAATCGAAATTTACTTATATCTGACATCAATCAATTTTTAACTTTCTGAGTTTATGCTTCTTCTGGATGACCGACCAGTCTATAATTTATACATTGGTCTACCATCACCCCATCGCCAGGATTATCTGAATTGTGATATAGAGGGTCAAGAGCTCACGAAATAACGAATTTATTATTTTGTTGGTTGGAAGTTGATTAGGAAAAAAAACAGCCATAGCAACGAATAGTTTATTTTAACTCCCGACGTCTTGGTTGTGAGCCTACACTTTGGTGGTTCTCTACGCTTCGGGCGGGAGGCCTCTTGGGAAGGTCTGAGGCGAAGGCTGGGGGGGTTAAGGTCTTAGCAAGACCCCTTCTTATGGAAGGGCGGCTTAAGAGAAACACCCTCTGTGAGCTAAGCACACGACGCCACCCAGCGGCTGATGCGGCTCGTAGCAGGGATGGGATAAAGCCGTGGCCGGCGCCGTAGTCCGATGTGTAGGGTGGCCGTGGGCCATAACCCAATTCAGTGATTCATTCATGTATATTCCTAACTATGTTCAACCCAACTTCTATAACGTTCAATTTTTACAGGGGACATGGTGACTGTTTAGAATTGGCAAAATTGGTTCACCTGCATGAACTTGTGGAAACGAAAAACAAACCCCTGAACACCTTCTGATAAACTGTCCATTAACTTCTGATCTAAGGGAAGAAAACCAACTTTACCTGACTAATACAAAACAAGTTGTTTGCAATAAAGACCAATACATTAAGTTCAATAGATTCTGCAGGATGTATATTTCAAGGCGAAAATGTTGACTGTACATATTTCAAGCTACTATTTCTAATTGTTATATGTAAAATTTGACATCGAACGTTTAATTTTCAGGATTCCTAATGTTCAATTGTGTTAATTGTATATAATTTAAAATATACACGCAATTATCCTAATTATGGATATGGCGTGTCTCTCCCAACTGTTAAATAAATAAATAAATTCATGTATATAAGCAGAACTAGGATTCAAAGTAACCATTCCCCTGAAGAGAGTGACATGAAGTCATTGAAATGTCGGGAGTTGAAATAAACTATTAGTTTATAAACAATATTTAAAGTTATACCGCATAAGTTTCTTTTTTTGTGAAAAATCAATATTTATTTCAAAGAGAAATATTTACTATTTCTAACTTTTTTGAATGAAGTATGAAAGGGTGAAAATATGAAGAGTAATGGCGAACGGGAAAAATAAAAGTGTCCAGGGGCGGGAATCGAACCCACAACCTTCTGCTTACCGGGCAGGTGCCATGTCCACTAGGCTACCCTAGACGTATTTCTCCGTTCGTAAATAATACTTAAAGTAACTTATAATACATTATAAAGGACTGCGGCGTGTGATTATAAACAATACTTAAAGTTATACCGCATAAGTTTTTTTTTTTTTGTGAAAAATCAATATTTATTTCAAAGAGAAATATTTACTATTTCTAACTTTTTTGAATGAAGTATGTCGCTGTGTTTTTTCTCCGAATATAAATATACAGTTAAACCTGTCTATAGCGCCCCCTCTTGGGACTCACCAAAATAGGGTGTTATAGAGAGGGGGTGCTATAGACAGGTCACTTTTAATATAAAATGTTTACATTTTAATGTTTAAAATCGGTCGCTATAGAGAGGAAGGCGCTATTTAGAGGGGGCGCCATAGACAGGTTTAACTGTATATACCAAAAGAGACACCTCTCTCTCTTTAAAAATTCATTAAAACATTGCATTTGGTTATCAATTCAGTACAAAACGTAATAGTAGTGATAAAGAATGGTGAAAGAAATACTAGTTTTTCAAAATTAAGACACAATACAACCTGTATACCATGGTTTTGAGCTATGGCCCTCTTCAGTATAGGGATGGCATCATTTCATAGCATTCTACAAGAAGAGTTATGCAATAGGTCGAATGATGCCATGTCTTAATGCATTCTTATAGAAAGATGTGCTTCTTTCGGTAAATGAATAACATCTTTTCGTAATCTTATACTGCGACTCCCGCATGTGTTTCTTTTGAACGGAATATCGAAATTTATTTTAAGGAGAAATAACAACTATTTCTAACCTCCGGAATGAAGTATGAAAGAATGAATTGTGAAGAGTAATGATAAACGGAAATATAAAGTGTCCAGGGATGGGAATTCATTACTCTTCACAATTAATCCTTTCATACTTCATCCCTAAGGTTAGAAATAATCGTTATTTCTCCTTAAAATAAATTTCGATTTTTCGTTCAAAAGAAACACATGTGGGATATTTTCAAATGCCGTTCTACAATCATAAGCCGCATTATATTGTAATCTAAATCACTTTACCAATATAAACACGTTTTTAGTAAATTTTACGATTTTTTTAATACCCTACGAGAAAAGTACTGCTTTTGATGCCTTTAATAGATGTCTTGATTAACTTTTAACATTTTTAGTAAAAATGGGTAGTGCGCCTTTTGATTTTGAAAATGAACACCATTTTCCCGTTCCTTCATAATATGAATTCTACTTTGATTTTAATTTGAGCATTACTCTATCATGGCTTGTCACTATACCAGATAGTCCTACATCTGTATCTAAGTTGCTTACAATTCGATTCATATTTTCAATTTGTTGAGTAAAGTATGAATATTTGAGAAAAATCTCAAAACATTTGGTGATAGTAAAGAAATGGTGGCTGATTCTATACGCAAATAAGAAAAAAAAATTAAAAATATTACAAGGGATTTCTCTTTCTTTTTCAGTTTATTAATTTTGATTGCTAAAATAAAGTTTCTAAACTGAATGCCTCGAGAACAGTTTTCAACAATGGGTATGTTAATTTTCAAAATATTTTGACCATTGTTAAAAACAGTTTTCACGAGGCATGCTGTGTGTCTGAACATTATTTATTTATTAATTAACTAAAAAGAGCGAACAATCCCTCGAAATATCTTCATTTATTTTTCCTTTTTACATACTGATCTAAATATTAGCTTTCTTTAACGTTCTTATATTTAATGGACCACTGATTAACTCAAATCAAAAGATGTTACTGTTGTGATATATGGTAAATTATCATATACTATGCATTTTGTCCGTTGATATTATTAACTATTTTCATTCATATGTAAATTTTGTTTTATCTTTTAACGCTATGCAAATCCATGGCAACTTTCAAATATGTAAATTAGCCAATAAATTATTTTCAGCCAGACAATGAGTGGTTGTCGCCTCTAGTATCTTTGACACATTATAACAATTACATTCCGAACTGAAGGGGATTTCAAATTATTTTCCACTATCTCAAAGAAATAATTTTCATTAATTCCATTACCTATTCAAAGTCGTCAACAATTTTTACAATATATAAATGATAATAATCCAATTATCGTTTGATTCACATTTTTTTTTAGATTGGGGCGGTTCTTGGTATAAAAGTTATAGATTTTACAGATGAGTAAATAGCCTCGTCGAAATATACGAAGATATTAATAAAATATTTTAATCCAAGATTTTCTCGTCATCTTTAATCAATTTTATATGAATTATTCAATATTTGCACATATATGCACAACACATTTATATATGTCTTCTCGTGAAATGTTATGGAATCAAAGATGCAAAAACGCATGTATATACGTCTTCTGGTAAAATGTTATAAATATCAAAGCCGCCCATGTACTAATGGAGAGCCAAAGCCCGGAAACCATGGTATACAAGTTGGCATCGTGTCTGAATTTGCCGAAACTGTTGCTCTTGTACATTCTTCATTACCACCATAACGTTGTGAACTGGTGGGATTAACCAAAAATGTAATAGTTTAAATGCATTTTTTACGGGACAGGTTTCTTTTTAGGTGAATGATACCATGAATACCTATATACATATTTCATCTTTGTAGAATTTCCTTAACCAAAATGAAGGATCTCGCTATCTAAGCAATGTCATCCAGTTGGAGGGGGGAGGGAAGAAGAATTCGGGGAACCTGCCAAGAAAGGTTGAGCCAATTAAAACTGGTTCACTGCTGGAATTAAGTCAAAACTTGACATTTTATGGCTCCTAGCTTCCGCTTGGCATTCTCAGGTGCAGAGGCAGTTCTTCCTTCCTCCATATTCTTTATTAAAATATCATATTTAGTAGTGGTGGTGTCTTGTCCACCCTCGGACGCAGTATCATGGACCGTCAATTCCTAATTCTATTGCTCCATTAAAAGAGGGTGTCATTGCCCCGTTAGTCAGCCACATTTCAGTGTTCCCTGTTCACGGTTACCGTAGCGGCTCGGGGCTCACGACACCGTACTTCGCCCTACAGGGTAGTCCCTGACTTGTGCTGCCTTTCCAGCCCGCTACGTAGATGAGGACTTCTGGGCGGGATCATATATTATAAAAACCAGAATAGGTGTTGTAGGTAGATGATTGCGACTTTTTATGATGCATAGCACATGCACGGCGAACTTCTTTTAAGTTAATATATTAAGTCTTCTATCGACTCGCGAAAGAGAAAAATCAAACGATATTAAGAGAATCAACATATAGATATATCTCTACACAGTCTTGATGTTGAGACAGAGAGTTCAGAGAGTATATTCTAGTCAATTTCCATTTTTATTCTTAAATATTCTGCTAAATTGTAGACCTGAGAGTATGAGTAGACGAAGCTCACATCTCCCAATGAATCAGATAAATATCTTTGACATGTCACAGTGATAGGTATATAGATTTGCTCATTATTTTCTAACCTCGCTACCCAGGGACAATGATATTTATAAGTCAGCCTAGACAACAGCCACGTCAGCTTAGACCACATAGAACACAGCAAAGGCCGTAGCCAACTCAGCCTAGACCACGGCTAAGTTAGCCTAGACTACAGCTAAGTCAGCCTAGACCACGGCTAAGTTAGCCTAGACTACAGCTAAGTCAGGTAGACCACAGCTAAGTCAGCCTAGTCCACAGCTAAGTCAGCCTAGACCACAGCTAAGCCAGCCTAGACCACAGCTAAGTCAGCCTAGACCACAGTTAAGTCAGCCTAGACCACAGCTAAGTCAGCCTAGACCACATCTAAGTCAGATAAACTACAGATAAGTCATCCTAGACCACATCTAAGTCAGATAAACCACAGATAAGTCAGATAAACCACAGATAAGCTAGCCTAGACCACAGCTAAGTCAGCCTAGACCACAGCTAAGCCAGCCTAGACCACAGCTAAGTCAGCCTAGACCACAGTTAAGTCAGCCTAGACCACAGCTAAGTCAGCCTAGACCACATCTAAGTCAGATAAACTACAGATAAGTCATCCTAGACCACATCTAAGTCAGATAAACCACAGATAAGTCAGATAAACCACAGATAAGCTAGCCTAGACCACAGCTAAGTCAGCCTAGACCACAGCTAAGCCAGCCTAGACCACAGCTAAGTCAGATAAACCACAGATAAGTCAGCCTAGACCACAGCTAAGTCAGCCTAGACCACAGTTAAGTCAGCTAGACCACAGCTAAGTCAGCTAGACCACAGATAAGTCAGCCTAGACCACAGCTAAGTCAGCCTAGACCACAGCTAAGTCAGCCTAGACCACAGCTAAGTCAGCTAGACCACAGCTAAGTCAGCCTAGACGACCCAGATCTCAAGGACAGTAGGCCACCGCTGGAGCGAGACCGCGAGGGAATTCAATTCTCCCCAGTGTCCGACAATGGACAGCCAGCGTGGATCCTCGCTAAGTAACAAAACATCTGAGGTCACTTTGTCCTTTTATTTGTCAAGTTGTTTTATATCGTCTGCTTTTCTTTTCTCTAGGCAGGACATTGTGACATTTAAATTTCAGCATTTTTCCTTGTCGAATATTCACAATGTCAATATTTCAATAGAATGTTGCTCGTTATATATTGATAAAAAATCTTCTATTATTTTATTCCCTAATTCTATATTAAAGAACTTCAATATTTATAAATTAATCTGATTAATATTTAAAGTTAGGAACGAAAGAACCTTATATTACGTATAGGCTAATTCTTCCAAACTTTTTTTCAGCAATCCATATTGTTGCACCAGGTTGCGGCTTGGCAAACTCTTCAACCTTGATTCTCTCCTGTGCCGGGTCCTGCATCTTACCAGAACGTGTTTCAACCATCCTACAAATTTATATAAGGGAATAATGAGATAACTCTACTTTAAGTAGCTTCCAGAATCATTATTTATTTCTAACATCAAAGAGAGCAGTGAACTCACAGTTTACCAAAATACAAATGGTGATTTTATAATACAAAAATCTGTTTATAATATTTATATATATATATATATGTTCTGTTTAATAAAATAAA